ATTTTGTGAGACGCTATTATTGTCTTCCCCATTAAGTTCACTTTGAACTTGCAAATTAATCATATATCTTAATTCAATCTAACATAGAAAGAAGAAAATTAAAAGTCCAATATGTTATTCAATAACATATACCTTAAAGTGTATCCATTGAATGAAAGAGCTATTGTGCTTATCTTGTAGCCACTTTGTTCTCTTTCTAAATTTTGGATAAGTGGTCTTGATGTGGATCATATGTTCCCTACATTGACACAAAAAAATCAAGCATTACAGTCCCATGTATATAAGATAAACATAGGAAATAATTTAAAATGGCTACTTAAAGAATAAAACTCATACTCGATATAAGGTAGGACTTCATCCGTATTCTCCAAGACATATAGATGTGCCTGGTTCAACAGGTCCTGATCAACTAAGTTCACTGTGCAACTTGATAATGGCTTTGAAACTCCCATCTTCTGGCTTGATGCAACTGCAACTGTACTAACATTAGATAAATGCTCGGTGCAAAACTCTTCAGCTTCTTCAACTATATACCGCTCAGCAATACAACCTTCGAGACAAGTACGGTTCGAACATACCCCTTTACCACTTTCATATATCTTTCAAATTTATACATCCATCTAAAATAAACTAGTCCACATAGACAAACTTCTATGACAAAATGTACTACTAGATGAACCATGATATCAAAGAATGAAGGGGGAAAGTATTTCTCAAGCAAACACAAAGTAACTACTACATCTTCTTCCAACTTATCTAGCTTGGAAACATCTACCATCTTTGCACATATAGCATTGAAGAATAAGCACAATCGAGTTATTGCATAACTTGCAGGCTTCTCCAAAACAGAACGAATTGCCATAGGGAGCAATTGTTGCATCAAGGTATGACAATCATGAGATTTAAAGCCAAGAAGTCTTGAATTTTTTAAAGATACAAGATTTTTTATATTTGAAGAATAACCTTCAGGGACCTTCATACCATAGAAAGAATTGCAAACCGCTCTCTTCTCTGCTCTTGATAAATTCCAAGGCCCTAGAGGCAAGTGAGTACGTCTTTCTCCATACTCGGGTTGCAAATCAGTTTTGACCCCCATGTTCAATAAATCTAACTGAGCAGCAATCCCAACTTTATTTTTTCCAAGGATCTCCAGCAATGTACCAATGATCCTATCGCAAACATTCTTCTCAATGTGCATAACATCTAGGACATGCCTCACAGGGAGGTATTTCCAATACTCAAGATTGAAGAAATTTGATTTCTTCTTCCAACAAACTCTGTCACCATAATTCTCACCAACACTTCCCCCATTTTTCGAGCCCCATTTGTAATTAGTACCTTCAACCATCTACAACACTTCTTCTCCAGTTAATGGCTCGGGAGGCGTGCCATATTCAGGTTTCCCATTAAAAGCTGCACAATGCCTCCGATATGGATGATTGATTGGTAACCATTTTCTATGTTTTGTGGCCATTTTTCAACTTATGACTAGGTGTATCATCGCCGCATATTGGACAAGATTTATATCCTTTAACGACACAACCAGATAAGTTCCCATAGGCAGGAAAATCATTAATTGTCCACAGTAATACACCTCTGAGTGTAAAGTATTCTCTTATGTGTGCATCATACACTTCTCTAATCTCATCCCACAAAGATTTTAAATAATCAATCAAAGGCTCCAAGTAGACGTCTATATCATTTCCTGGTTGTTTAGGACCGAAAATTAATAAGGTCAACATCATGAACTTTAGTTTCATGCATAGCCATGGTGGGAGATTATATGTAACTAAGATAACTGGGCAACAACTGTATCTGCTACTTAAAGAACTGTGTGGATTGAATCCATTAGACGAGAGAGCCAATCTCAAGTCTCTTGACTCTTTACCAAACTCGGGCCATTTATCATCAACAAGTTTCCAAGACGGGGAATCCGCTGGATGAGACATATGACCATCAACTGATTTTGTATTAGCATGCCAAGTCAAACTCTTAGCTGTCTTACGTGATTGAAACATCCTTTTAAACCTTGGAATAGGTGAAAAATACCACACCACCTTCGCTGGCACACCCTCTTTCAAGATTGAATCTTTTCCTTCCTTCCTTCCACCTTGAGATACCACAAGTAGGACAATTAATTGATTCTTCATAATCCTTTCTATACAAGATGCAGTCAATGGGGCTTGCGTGGATTTTCTCATAACTCATCCCCGAAGCAGACAATGTCTTTTTTGCCTCATACATAGAGGAATGTATTGTATTTCCTTCTGGAAGCAAATCTTCTTTAAGTATCAATAATTCTGTAAAACGCACATCACTCAATCCATGTTTTGCTTTCAAATTATATAACTTCACGAAAGTCGACAACTTCGTGTACTTACTGCAACCAGGGTACAAGGGTTGATCTCCATCCCCAATCACAATGGCAAACTCATAAGGATCTAATCCAATATTGCCTAAATCATTATCATCCATCCCTAATTCTTCATAAACAAAACTGAACCTACTTTGCTCATCTTCTTCCACATTTCTACTAGCATTAGTAGTCCATTCATAAGGTTCTCCGTGCCATGTCCAAATCTTATAGCTTTGGTCAATTCCATTAAAGTATAAGTGGCCCCTTAAAATTCCAACCCCAAACAATCGAATATTCCCACATTTAACACATGGACAATGAATATGAGTTGTATTTCCAAGATTTTCTACAGCAAAATTCAAAAATTCTTCCACCCCTAACTCATATGCCTTCGATCTTCTATCCGCATGCATCCATAACTTATTCATCTCCCACACTATACAATCATATATATAATAAAGTGAAAAGACCAGCAATGACAAACCACTATATTCACATAGTAGAGAATAATTTGATATATATATATATAACAAAACAATAATCAAATGATGGTTTTTACAAAACAATCGACGTGTTATAGCGATAGACGTGTTTACCGTCGTCTTTAGGCTACATAAACCCAGAAATTTGTATTGCTTTTTGAAGAACAATATTCTGGGTTCAGTAGTCTAAAGACGACGGTTATTGGAGATACCGTCGTCTTTAGGCTACTGAACCCAGAAATTTGTATTGCTTTTGATGAACAAGTTCTGGTTTAGGTAGCTTGAAGACGACAGTTAGTGTAGAAACAGTCGTCTTTAGGCTACCAAATACAAAATTCAGACGACGGAACTAAATGTACAACCAACATATAAAGAAAATTTAGACGTCGGTTTGGTCCATCTACCGTCTTCGTAAGTTACAAAAACCCACAGCATAATTCTCCCATTCCCAATCACTTTCCAAGAACCATGGCCAACCAAACATATAAGAACCCATAACAGAGAGTTATTATGACAAGCACCAAAACATATATTAAGAACCCATAGCTCCCAATTAAGAACCCATAGCTCCCAAAACATATATCAAGAACCCATAGCTCCTAATTAAGAACACATAGCTCCCAAAACCAATGAAAACATTTATTGATTTAAGAAGCCATAACGCAATATCATTAAATAAAGAGATTGGGGTTAGTACTTACATGTAGAAGACTTTAAGTTCAGAATTTGAGTTGAAGAGAGAATATAACCAATGCCTTGAGAGAGATCTCAACCAATGCTTTGAGAGAGAGAACGAAAACTTTAAGATTAGAATTTGAGTTGAAGAGAGAGAACAAAATATTTTAGGGTTTAGGGGAATTCTGAACATTTTAAATCGCGGTCAAAAACTTCAAAAGACTGCGTTTTTTAAAGACGACGGAAAGTACATACCGGACGTCGTTTAATATGAGCCTACGACGATGTTTTATTAAATACAACGACGTTGTAAAACTTAACTACGTCGGTATATTGAAAAAAAGTGTCGTAGTAAATGATTTTCACGTCACTTCTTGACAAAACCGACATCTTAAATATTAAATAATTAGGTGGGCTTTGTGTTTCCTGGGATTCGGACATGCATAATTGACCAAAAACAGTGGAGAGAAAACCGGCGTCGTTTCAATATACCCTAAACCCTAAACCCTAAATTTTACAATAATTATAAATAAAAAATAACGCAAGTATGAGAAAAATAAACCGAAAATTGCTACATACTCCTTACAACAATGCCTTCCATATTAGTAGGCTAAAATTAGGAAATCATATATTTGTATTTATGGTTACCAATGGATCACATAAACCTTAGGGTTATATTATGAAAGTATAAACAATTTTGACTTTTGTTATCACTTGAAATTTTGAAAACTAAAATTACATTTTTCAAAGCTTGAGGGGGAAGACAATCTCTCAATGAGTGCATACTATCTGTCAGTTTATTTTTCAGATTTGTTTGGAATTTATTAAGAACATTAGGAATTAAATACAATAAACAAATCTTATTAATATTATATTTTTAAAAGCTTTAGGGAGAAGACAATCATTCAATGAGTGCATGGTAGTTGTCGGTTTATTTTTCAAATTTTTTTAAAAATTTATTATGAATATTAGTAATATAATATAATATAAAATTCATATTAATATAAAATGACACGTGTATATAAATGAAGTTGCATGCATTTACCACGACCTGGAACAAACATGAACGCTGTCCTAGGAAGTTTAGACATCGAAAATTTAATCACGGACATTGGGGGAGCCAATTAAGGCCCACAAGGGTCACTTGACCCTTCTCAACATTTTGAAAATATTATATTTGTCTATGTTATCTAAGTTGTGTTATAGCTAGACCTTTCGCACAAACGTAAATTGTCTACCATGAATATGAATATGATCCATATTTGTTTTCATGTCTTCATATGTCATTTATGTGTGTGTCATGGATTTTATATGATTTTCTCATTCTATCTAAAATCAACTTTAGATACTCTTTCATTATTTTTGGGTTGGTAGAATTTGGGTTATCCTTACTAAGATATTAAATTTGTGATATTGAAATTTAATCATTATAATGAATTCTTATATATTTTTTCCTATAAAAACTAAGTTCATTGTAATTATAAAACTATTAAAAGTTGACCCTCCTTGACATAATTCTTGACTTCGCCACTGAAAGTGATGTATCTTAATGTTGCATAATTATTTTGGATACAAGCAATATTGGAGGAGAGGGGTATGTGCTCTTAACCACTTAAGCTACAAGCTCTAAACATAAGTATTTTACTATGTAAAATAAAGTTTACTGAGAATGGTAACCATGGGAAAGGGATTCAAGAAATCCATCTAAGCTGGTGAGGTTCTTGCTCTTTAGAAATTGGGAGTACCAATGAGCAGAGAGTTTGGGTTGTCTTTTTAAATCAGGGTCGTCCAAATCCATGTAGTATAGGCCAAAGCTTGATTCATAGCCGCCCAATAGCTCAAGGGAGTCCAAGAAGGACCATATAAAATAGCCTCTGGCATTTGATCCATTCCTTCCAAAAAGATTTCATATAGCATCCGTCAGTAATTAAGAACAAGTACTAGTTAGTTGTCGAACTATGGTGTAAAACAAGAAAACCACTTAAGCAAAAAGCAAATAAAGATGATATCAGATAGTTAAAGACTTCATAAGTGGTCAACGGTTATAGCCTAGTGAAAAAAGACCTTGACTAATGTGTGTGAGAAATCCTTCATTTCCTTGTAATTTAGACTATCGCCTGTATAAAAATAAAATAAAATAAAATACAGACTTCACATGTGAAACATATCTTACCAATTCTCACTTTGCCTATTTAAACAACAATTTGGGTCTTGACCTAATTAATTTCAATTTTGTTCATGTAATTAATTATTAGTAACAAAATCAGTCATTTCTTTGGCTTCAATTGTCATTTCTTGTTAAAGCAAAGTAGTCTTTTCATATCGAGGGTGGCAATTAAATTTCCCTTGTATGAACACTTTCTTGGGACTCGGATAGCTAGACTTCAAATGGAGAGAATAAGATAAATCTTATGACCCTTGGGTTAAATTATAACTGGCAGAAAATAGGTATACCTTACAGCTTCAAGCAAAGCTTGGATATGTCCCTGCACATATTTTATCCTCGACCTATCCTCCAATGATGAATTGCGTGCAGTTTGTTGACCTAAAATATATAGGATGCCAATACTTTTCCATTTAGATAATGAGATAGATGAAAAGAACAAAAACATGAAAAGTTAGATTCATAATAAAGAAAAAATTCCCTATCCAAAGAAAAAAGGGAAAAATTAAAGAAACCATAAATTATTTTCAATTAGGTTTGTTCTTTAATGTCCTATTATAACATTAACATCTAACTAAATTTTGTTTGATTTTAAAAAGTTGAAACTATATGACTTCATTACAAAAAGAAGAGCGAAACTAAAAGTACCCCACTAAACTAAATTGCAAATTGTTCCAACACTTTATATTCAAATACATGCATTATAGCACTATGATTAAATTTCAGCATTTAGATAGAGAGAGATATATACCATTTTCATGGATATATACAGGAGGATTGCCATAATTTTGCTTCATATATTCCAACAGTCTTTGCAGGCCCCAGGGAGCTATTGGATACTACATCAAACAAATGCATTAGTAATGCTTGAAATTAACCCCATAAATGGTTAAACGACCCTAAATTAACCCCATATCAAAAACATGAAAAAATAAATACAATATATAATGAATGATACCACTCCTAATAACACCGAGGTTTTTTGATAAAACAACACACCTACTGGAATTTGTAATTGGTTAAATTGTGAACAACTTCGATGTTACTAGAAGTGGGCTGATAACCCATCTCTCTAAAGTTAACAAGTTGTTATTTCAAAGTTTTACCTCGAATGATGATGACTCATTACGTTTCGGAACTGCACAAATAAACTTTGTAAGTTAAATCAATAATTATATCATGTCTTAACCAAGATAAAACTTGCCCTATAGTGACCAATGCGCACACCAAAGCAGTGCAAAAAAGATGTAATCGATGAATCATGTAATAAAAACTAATAATTTTTTGAATATTTACTTAATCGTGGGGTAAATCTTGAAGCTAATAATTCAAAACTTCAGTTTTTTTTCTTTTTTAAACATCCGATAGATATTTACCAATATATTTTCACAAAGGCTCGGCTAATACATCCACAAAGTTAGGCTACGTACCATAATGGGATTAGGCCACAACTGGACTGTTAAATATTGGGTCACCATAGATGCGGGAGGAAGAGGAATCGTACAATCCCGACGACAACCCGTCATCATGTGAGTAGTCTCACGCGCTGTTTTTGGCGTTTTAGCATGTTTTGATGTGGTTTCCTATTATTTGGGGGTTCTCTAGTACAATTTAATACAGTTTTAGTTTCCTATTCCTAGTAAACTTGTAACCCAAATCCTAGGAGTTATAAATAGAATTTTAAGGCTAGGTTAATTTAAGAGAGGAGAATTCAAGAGTGAATTTTGAAGAGAGAAACATAAGATTGAATTCAAGGGTGAATTCTTGAGTGTTTACAATGTAAATTTGTAACCCAAAGGCTAGGTTAATTTAAGAGATGAGAATTCAAGAGTGAATTTTGAAGAGAGAAACATAAGATTGAATTCAATGGTGAATTCTTGATTGTTTACAATGGCATCAAAGGGTTTGAGTAAGGGTGTGAGAGAAATTAAGACCTAGAGTTTGAGGTGATAGAAAGCTAATGGGGTTCTTGTTGTAACCAAAGTTGTTCCTATTCTTCTAGTGAAATTTATGGAAGGGATCACCAAAGAGGACATAGGCACGAGGCCGAACCTCTATAAATCTTTGTGTTCTTGTGTGTTTGCTTACTCTCTTCGTGGTTGTGTACCTCAAAGGGTTTGTGTGTGTACTATCGCATAGTCCATCAACGACAAGGTCTTGGAGTGTTTCCGCACCACAAGTGGTATTAGAGCCGTGGTTCGTGGCAGGCTCTTATAGTTTTAAGGGTGTTTTGCAAGTGTTGATGATGGCAGCTGACAAGAAGGCAGCGGGAGAAAACTCCCAAATGTAGACACCACAAACGGATAGCATGAAGCTCAAGGTGAAGACATTCACAAGGAAGGAGAACTTCACACTATGGCAAAGGAGAATGAAACATGACCTAGACCATGAAGGTCCAACTGCTATCTTGGCAGGTGACAAGACAAGATCGGAAACCATGACAATGAAAGAAAGGGATGTGCTCGGCGAGTTGGCCAAGGGGTCCATCAAGGTGATGGAAGACATCGCAAAGCAAACACGGAAAAAGCTCAAATGGATTTTTGAAGGAAAGTCACTATCAAACAACTGCTTCATGAATCAAGCTCTCCTAAATATTCGTATGGAGGAGGGTGGAAATCTCACGGAGCATCTTAACACCTTTAATAGGTGTATTGAGGACTTGTAGAAGGTGGATGTGGTTTATAGCAAGGAGTATGAGGCGTTGATGTTGTTGACATCGTTGCCTTCATCCTATGAACACTTCCAGAGGAAGCTGATGATCTGCAAGAGTACTCTCAATTTTGAATTGGTGGTGCAAGACTTGGGGCATCATGGGTTGGCTCAAAGTTCTGGAGATAGCTCTCAAGGTGCGGGTCTATTAACATAGACCGGAGAGTAGTGTCGTTCAAGCAAGCAAAAGGGTAAAAAAGGCAATGGGAGGAATCCTAAATTCAAGGACAATGAAGGGCGCTTCAAATGTGGGTCTGCGGATCATTGGAAGTAGAATTTTCTAGTATGGAATGAGAAGCAGAACAAGATGAAGAATGCCAAAAGTTCAAGCACAGCCAATGATGAACTTTTGACGGTTACATATGAGGAGTGTAACGGGGAAGTAGTGGAAAATTCTTCGGGTAAGAATTCTATTTTAGTTTGGATTTTACATTCCAGAAGCTCGTTTCATGTGTGTTCAAATAGGATGAAGTTTGACACATATGAGGAAAGGAAGGGTAGCAAGATTTTGTTGGGAGACAAAACAAGTTGTGATTTTTGGGTGTGGGAACAATGAAGATCAAGATGTAAGATGATGTTGTTAGGAGCCGTAGCATGAACAACAAACTCACAAAGGGGTTCTACTTGAGGTGTAGCCTTCACCACAAGCAAGGTCTGGGCCCAAACAATCGATCAAACTGCCCCAAGGGAAGGACAAGGTAGATTCAACTACATTTCGGAGTGCTTTTGGGAGCATGAAGCAGGAAAGTTAAATGGGTGCTTGGATGAAAAGGAAAGAGCTAGTTCATAAATTCAAGAGCAAAGTTGGTGGTTGCGTGGGGATTTATAGAACAAGGGTTGGTATGCGGTTTGCATATCAAGGCAAGTCAAGAATTCAAGGTTCTAAGAAGGCAAGGAGAAAGAAGTTCGACATGGGGGATCTCTCTTCTACACAAGATGTCTGAGTTGCCAAAGTTTAGCTTGGGTAGAGCACCTTCTCACCTGAGGTGCATTAAGGCAAGACATTTGTTGCCATGGTGGAGCTCTTGGGAATTACTAGAACAGTTTCTAAGAGGTTGAAAAGGTTATAGGGGTCAACCATTGTTCATGGCTGTTTGATGGTTCGCCAAAGTGGAGATTGTTGAAGATTGGCTCACCATATATGTGGGAGGAAGAGGACACCCAAGGCGCTGCAGGATGGAGCAGCAAGGAAAGAGAGGAAGAAGTCGTAAGGAAGCAACAATGCAAGCGACTAATCCGCATTGGCCAGGCAATCAGTCAATTTTGGCCGAGAGCTTGAAGTCAATTTTTTACTCCTTAGCGACTAGTCGTCCAATCCCAACGACCGATCATCACGGGAATAGTGACACACACTATTTTGGCATTTTGACGTGTTTTGACATGGTTTCCTATTATTTTGGGGTTTTCTAGCCTAATTTAATAAGGTTTTATTTTCCTATAAACTTGTAACCTAAGTCCTATAAGTTATAAATAGTTTTTGGGGCTAGGTTAATTTAAGAGAGGAGAATTGAAGAGTGAATTTTTAAGAGATAAACACAAGACTGAATTCAAGGGTGAATTCTTGAGTGTTTACAAGGGCATCAAAGGGTTTGAGCAATGGTGTGAGAGAAATGAAAACCTAGGGTTTGAGAGGGTAGAGAGCTAAGGGGAATTTCATGTTGTAACCAAAATTGTTCCTATTCTTCTAATGAAGTTTCCCGAGGGGATCACCAAAGAGGACATAGGCACGGGGCCGAACCTCGATAAATCTTTGTGTTCTTGTGTGTTTGCTTACACTCTTCGTAGTGTGTGTGTGTGTGTTTTATTCTCAAGGTGTTTGTGTGTATGCTGTCGCATAGTCCATCAACAACAAGGTCTTGGAGTGTTTCCGCACAATATCGACATTGAACTCTTGAATATATATTTTTTTTGTTATGAACCAGCTGGGGAAAGAACCCCAAACAAAGAACTCTTGCATTCCTTCAAACATAGAACTTCGACATGTTATCTATTGTTGTTAATTAGCACGACATATTGGTACTGGATATTGGTTTGTTTTAGAGATTGGCCACATTGTGATTATGAATTTAAAAGTCATTAGAGGTAAATTAATCATTTTGGATCTTTTTTGTTTCATACAATCATCTTGTACTGGTTCGTGAACATTTGATGCAAGAATTGTTATTGGAATGAAAGATCTTCTGAATGATGGGCTAAAAGAAATTGAATCCACATACATGTAGCAAAAACTTGATTAAATTTTTAAGGCTCAATATAGTCTGAAATATAAATATACGTATAGCAAAAACTTACGTGTCATCTTGACTGCTGAGTCAGCATGATAGTCTCTGTTTGTACTCTTTAAGCTGATGGAGTTGTCCTTGGCATGTACGACGGTATAATAATTAAATCCTATGAAGTCAAACGAACCCTTGACACTTTGAGACTCAAGCCTAGTGAAGAAAGGAATTCTAGAGCCTGCATTTTTTTTTATTACATCAGGGTAATCTCCAAACACCAAAGGATTCAAATACCTGCAACATAAAATAGATACAATGAGTTTGCAGTTAAGACAAGTAAATAATAATTGATATATATATTTTGTTGGACCGGTTTCACATAGTAGCTTGATCATCCAAACCATCTATTTTTTATGTTCCATTGAACGATCACCATGTACTAATAATCCACCAAATTGGGCCGGAAAATGACTACAAAAGAGAGAACAGAGAGGTTGCAATTTTATGCCACTTTCAAACTTACCAACCAATATAGAAGTCGAGGCCTCTTTGGGCTGCTAGTTCATCTTCAATGGTTTTTTTTTGAGGAAAAAACCAAAAGGCAAAAAGGTTGATTCCTATAAACCCACGTTGTTTATCCTGCATTCCAAAAGTATTGATGTTACATGGAATAATCTTCGTTGTATTAGGTTGGGTTTCTTTTAACTTCTTTATCATAGTTTATAATGGTCTGTATTGTATGTTCGAGCTTATAATCGTTTATACATTTCCACATAGTATATGTACATTAGAAGGAGCATCAAATATTGCACAGTTTTCTCATTTGCTCTCAATTTCTTATTTCGTCAACCTATCTCTAACTATTTTCTTAGTTAAAACGCTTTATGTTCTTGAATTAAAACTCGAAGACCTAAGTCACAAGTGAAAAGTTAGTAGCTATGACACTAATTAATCTGTCCTATTTCTTGATTCAAAGACGTAAGGACACCATTGCAAGAACAACAGTGCTTGAAGCATTTAACATGAATTTGTTTTCTCTTGCAATTACCTGGTAGTTTTTCTTGTACAATCTAGCAGCCGATGCATGAGATAACAAGATATTATGCGTTGCCAAGTATGGTTCTGTTGAGGAGTTACCCCTAGAGCAGTTGAGACCAAATGGAATTGAACATCGTTGTGGTGGAAGATATCCACCATCATAACCCGCAAGTACAAAAACATTAGGTTCATTCATAGTAGTCCAATGCAAAACTCTATCCCCGAAATTTTTGAAGCACACATCTGCATACGCAGTGAAGTCTTTTCTGCAACCACAAAATTGTTCCATCATGATCTTTCCCCTTTTTCTCTTGATGTATTGAAATTACGCAAAAAAAATAAAAATAAATAAAGTGGGGGAAGAAACCATACACAATCTTTCGGCTAACCCATCCTCCATACTCGTCATCAAGTGCCTGTGGGAGATCACTATGGTGTAGAGTAACATGTGGTTGGATTCCTGCTTGAAAAATAAAGCACTCAGACATAAAATTACATAATTTTTAGATTGGTGGAAGTGGTACATGTTTCTTAAGGCATGTTTACTTTATCAGGAATGGGTATTGGAATTACTCAAATTCATGTTGTCCCCAGCATTTACTAACACAGAAGCAATCCAAAATTATGTGGGTTGCATGCTAAACTCACGAATATCCTCAAAAATAGTAATCGGATCAGCTACCTAGTTGATCTGATTCCAATTCCTCAATTTAATTCCATGATTCATGACTTCCTCCATTCCTAAGTAAACATGCCCTAAGAGTATAACCACTCCCCAAATTCGAAGGAAAATATATAATGTAGTATCATAAGGTAGATAGTAACCATGGCTGATTAGTTGATCAATAAGATTGTTGTAATATTGTAGACCCTTTGGATTGACAGGTCCTTTTCCATCTGAAATAAAGAAATTGGATATTTGAGTGCGTGAAAACTTAAGCCTTGTTTGTTTAATATGAGTAACAATTGGAAGCTCATGCATACTTGGGATAAGTCTTGACCATGAGATGGAAAATCTATATGCCTCTAATCCAGTATCTGCCATTAGTTGAACATCTTCCTGCAACAGTTTGAATGAACATTGAATATCAAATAGCATCAACATGTTCCTAATTAGCTATTTAGGCAATAAATCGTGTGATTACGTAATTGTACGGAACATATAGTATGTTATATTGCCTCCCAAATACTATAAAAACCTCTCGAATACTAGCTAGTCTTGATATAGCATGAAACCTCTGAACTAAAAGAAAAGATTGTTAGCAATAACTAGATTGAATTTTGCAAAATATATACCTTATATTTGTGATACGCGTCACATGCTACATCTCCAGTAGCTCCATGAAAATGACCTGAAAATTTGAGTTAAGCTATGAACTAACAAGGATCATGACACGCGCAAGTTATCATGTTACTTTGAACATGTTTGATTACTTGATTATATTATTAATATGGATTAAGTTTATTTAATCCGCTTGATTAAATAGTGGTTACTTTGAACGATTATATTGATAAATATACAGTAGGAATGGGTAACAAGGTACCAAAATAACCCACATTGAAAACACTAGAAAGGGTACTTGGGAGGAAACCAGTACTTATAAGCTCACACTACTAATTAACAATTTAGAAGTGGTTGGACATTGAGCTCAGATTTTTTCAGATGAAGTCTACAGAGGATGGATCTTTTTTATTCTCGGAATAGTTATGTATTAGAGAATCACAAAGAAAAACATGGTTGTTTTCGCTAATTGTGAGGGCAAAAGATTTTGATTTCCCTCTATATTGTTGTCAAAATGATTTCAGCCTCAGTTGTCCTTGGCCAGTGAGAGCGGACCTTCTTTTTTCTTCCTCAGTACAAGCGATAATCTAAACTACAGAAGGAGGAGGGTTTCTCATATACACAATCAAGATGCTATGGGGGTTCGAACCTAGCAACTCAATGTATTTTTTCCTATAAACGATAAGGATCAATAAAACAATAAGAATACCGGCATAATACATACCCAAGAACCTCCAATGCTTAAGTTAGGTACGTATAGGGTGTGTAAAGGTAATTTCACAGAGTAGATTTAGGGTCCGTCTTTGCATGTCACCTTGTGGATAAGGAGGGAAATATTGTTATAAAAAAAAAATTAAAAAAAAAAAACAACCAATACCTAATTAAGTAACCATAACTTTACTATGGAGTATGTGATAAAACCGTAATTTACAATAATAATGTGACACATGACACTGTCATGTATGTTTTTATTAATTACATAGTTTGTCCCAAAAAAAGAAAGATGAAAAAAAAAAATCAACAACAAAAACGAAAGTATGCCAATAGAATATGTGAATTACTATTTTGTACCTGATCACTTGTGTTTATGAATTACTTTTTCTTCATACGGTTTTGAATCTATTTTGATCAGGTTTCGGGCATGAGTTTTTTTCATACGGTTTTGAATCTATTTCTTCGTACTTTTCCTTCATGCCGATAACTTTTTTTGTTGTGTATTTATGACTGCCGACTGACATTGTTTGGACGGACATGAATTTAAACGTCACAGATGACAGTGGTTTTGGGGTCGTGGGCCCCTTCCATTGTAACATTGAATATAATAGAAGAAAGCAACTAAGACTTTTCTTGCTTTAAGAATACCAATCACTACAACAATATCTATGGCTGCCTACTAAGAGCATCCACAGTGGGGTGTAAAGCCATTTTTACATCCCTTTTACACCTCCAGGAGGTATAAATACGTTTTTTGCTCTAATAGGGGGGGTGTATTTTCGGGGGTGTAAAACCACTTTTCTCCATTTTTCCTCTCCTTTTTACAACTGGGTCCCACCTGCAAGAGATGTAAAAAAAAGATGTACAATTGCATCTAAATATACATCTCAAGGTGGTGATGTAATTATACATTCATATACACCCCCCATTGCTGGTGATTCCGATCACAACGGGTGTATATTTAACATACACTCCCTTATACACCACCACATTGTTGATGCTCTAATAATAACATTGATTGGTATCCAAATCAATATCTAAGTAAAAGATTTACTAGTGTAATGGTTTGGAGTAATTGCTCCATTAAGTAAGGTTTTGGGTTCGAGTTTTAGCATTTGTATAGTGTGTGTGTTTGAATTTAATAATTATCACCCGTCTCAATAGAAAAAATATTTAATAAAAAAAAAAATCAATATCTATGACTGCATCCTTCATTGACTTTTTCGAATTGAATTGAGATTGTTGGATATATAACATTTTTAAAACTAATTAATTCTTGGAAAAATTTAATCTAACTAATCAAAAACTCTAATTTATTCATGAAGAGGTTAAAAAAATTTCATAAAAAAAAAAACTAAAAAAAAAATACAAAATAAAAGCATAAAAACTAGTATTGCTACAATCTAAACTGACCTCGCCAACCAACAAACAAAAATGAAAAAAGAGCGAAAAAAGAAGAAGAAGAATTTGATATGAAAGTGGTGGGAAGCTAACCAGCATGCGCAAATGTGTCCAAGATGCTCGGGGTCCTGCCATCTTCGGCTGCAGCACCTTCCACCTTTTTTCATGTAGATTTTTTAATCAACCCAGGTAAATAATACGAATGAAAAGAAATTAGAGAGAAAAAGAAAAATGAAAAGAAATTGAGAAAACCTGATAAGCAGAGGAGGAAGCACCAAACACAAAGGCCGGTGCCGATGGGAAGTCATCTCTGCAAAAGTTATCAGTGCTTGAAGAAACACTTTTTATGGTAAGAAGAAAACATAGCAGAAGTGAAACTCTCAACATTAATTATGTAGAAGACGAAAGCACGGCAAGAGTTGGAGATTCTGGTTTCTGAACTTATAAAAAGCAAAACTTTGAATGAAAATTGAGTGGTTACCCTTAGTTATCCTTACTTTAGTTTACCCTAAAGGTCTACGTCAAAATGCTACAAGTCTCCAAATTACTTTAGAAGGTGTTGTGTGTTGAATTGAAGACTTTTTCATTTGTCGAGTGCGGAAACTTGTCAAAACAGCCGAAAACTTGTCAAATTAATTAAAATAAAAAACAAGTAATTAATTGATAAGGTTGTGCAAAGCCCCACTGCGATGATTGGCTTGAAGTGGAAAGCCTTTGCTTTCTCTTAAACTTCACAATTGAGCATTTCGTTTGTCGATATTGTTGGAATTTTAAAAGATTTTAAAAATTTAACTATTTTATTTATTTAATTATTTTTCTGTTTTATTTTATTTATTGTGGGGGTTATAAATATTTTATATTCAAGTTTTATTTCTGGTTGGTGAATGCCTTAATTTTTTGGTTGGTGAACTTTTATGGTTGGTAAAGGTTACATGTTTTGGATGCCTATAAAAGGTCACTCCTCCTTCACATTTGAGACACACACAGTACACCATCAGAATATCACATACCACAATCACCACCATAAACTAATTCTCTCCTTTTCTATTTTTATATATATTCTCTACTTTACATTATTATTTTGGCAATGGTTCTGTGACTTGGATACCCATATCCGTCTATGAACGTGCTCATAGCGGATCTTGAGTTTGTGTACAAGGGGTCGTATCTTGGAGTCTTGTAGACCGTCAGTACCTGCACGTAGGGAGGCTACAAAGGCTTTAGGACAGCGTCTTTGACGTGCTTCACCGTACCAAACTCACCTTCTTACTTATTATTTATTTTCCTTTTACTTACCTATTATTTTGTTTTCTTCAATTTCATTATACCTTAAAAGCTTTCCTATTTATTTATATGTTATTTATAATATAATAATGTTTTGTATTTGGCTTTACGGAAAAGAAAAACTATATTGTATATATTTTTTATAACAGTTAATGCCTTCCGGAGCTCTAGGCACGAACCACCCGATGTCTTGGAAATCTTCCCAATATTAATGCTTTCCGGAGCTCCATGCATGAACTACCCGATGTCTTGGAAATCTTCCCAATGTTAATGTCTTCCTGTCTTTAAACTCTGTCACTTGTAGGAAAACGTGGAGGGGTATTTTAGATGGAATTTTGGATGGAAATTTGGATGTATCCTTCAATTGCGATAGAATCAAACTATTGAGGTTAAAATGACAAAATTAAGACTATAACAACCAAAATAGAAAAACATGCAAACTAGGGGTTTTAAAGGGTGGCGGCATAGGGGCATTATTTTTGCTATTATGTGTTAATGTGTGAAATACTTACATGGTTGTGTTGGTTTTAAAATACTAAGTATGAATATGAATTTTTCATGATTTTAGGATTTATGTATGATTTTTTGAAATTTAAAAAAGATATGAAATATTCACTGTGTTCTTGAGTTGTTCATCATTGGTTTTGATTTATCCAAGAGATCTTGTGTATTTGATTCTTTAGGTGTCTTTTGGTGTGATTGATATGTGTTAGTCAAAAACATGTTATGACACATCCCACCAAAGTTGTGGAAAATTCTACCATTTGTTCGCTTTGTCTCTTTTATCTTTGAAATAAGCCAATGAGAATGAAGATACTTTGTGGCCACACACACGGTCCATGCAGTCCCACCCCAGGAGAGGACCCATTTCGGGGTCTTCTTGTAATTACCGAACTTTTGGGGTAGTTTTGCAATTTCCGAATGAAAAGAAATTAGAGAGAAAAAGAAAAATGAAAAGAAATTGAGAAAACTTGATAAGCAGAGAGTTAGCGTGTTGAATTGAAGACTTTTTCATTTGTCGAGTGCGGAAACTTGTCAAAACAGCCGAAAACTCTTGTCAAATTAATTAAAATAAAAAACAAGTAATTAATTGATAAAGGTTGTGCAAAGCCCCACTGCGATGATTGGCTTGAAGTGGAAAGCCTTTGCTTTCTCTTAAACTTCACAATTTAGCATTTCGTTTGTCGATATTAGATGACACAAATTGAACCTCAAGGTAAAAAGTCACTTTCGTTCATGTAGTTTGTCGTGTATTGCCCAGAGAATCACGTCATTTTCGGAATACCAAAGAAGTTGTTGACTTTTAATTAACCAGGATGATCTACTAAAACAAGGTAACGCTGAATTTGAATAACGACGTCGGTTTTTTTTTTACTAAGGGTCGTTGAATGTAAGCATACAACAACTGTTTAAATAAAGAAGCGCCATCATAATATATAATATCAGGTCATTAAAAGTAAACTTATGTCTTGTAAAACTTAAATAACCACATCAGTTTGGGAATTCCAAAAAGTTGTTTGGCTTTATTAATAACCACGTCGGTTCCTACTAGTTTTGCATCATTATAACAACATACTATGACGGTTTTTAATAAAACCGTCGTGTTATTGAACTCTGGGAAAATATATAAACTTTTTCATCACCTGACCTAAAGTTTTACGTTCTCTCTCACCGATAAAATATCTCAATTTCCCTCTCAGTTCCCAAAAGCAGCTTCGTAATCATCATCGTCTGAATCTCATCATCGTCATCGTCTTCGTCCGCAAATCACCAAAGTTAACGTCGGAAGGAAACTTTTTTTGTACGCCAAAGGTTTTTTCTCAATCTCTTTTCATGTTTTTCAATTGCATTTGAAGAGGGTTTTGAAAGAACGAGTTTGGAAACAAGACTCCGTCAAAATGACGAAATAACCACGTCGGTTTCAAAATTCCAAAAGTCGTTTGGCTTTATTAATAACCACGTCGGTTCCTACTAGTTTTGCATCATTATAACAACATACTATGACGGTTTTTAATAAAACCGTCGTGTTATTGAACTCTGGGAAAATATATAAACTTTTTCATCACCTGACCTAAAGTTCTACGATCTCTCTCACCGATAAAATATCTCAGTTTCCCTCTCAGTTCCCAAAAGCAGCTTCGTAATCATCATCGTCTGAATCTCATCATCGTCATCGTCTTCGTCCGCAAATCACCAAAGTTAACGTCGGAAGGAAACTTTCTTTGCACGCCAAAGGTTTTTTTTTCTCAATCTCTCTTCATTTTTTTTCAATTTCATTTGAAGAGGGTTTTGAAAGAACGAGTCTGGAAACAAGACTCCGTCAAAATGACGAAATAACCACGTCGGTTTCAAAATTCCAAAAGTCGTTTGGCTTTATTAATAACCACGTCGGTTCCTACTAGTTTTGCATCATTATAACAACATACTATGACGGTTTTTAATAAAACCGTCGTGTTATTGAACTCTGGGAAAATATATAAACTTTTTCATCACCTGACCTAAAGTTCTACGATCTCTCTCACCGATAAAATATCTCAGTTTCCCTCTCAGTTCCCAAAAGCAGCTTCGTAATCATCATCGTTTGAATCTCGTCATCGTCATCGTCTTCGTCCCCAAATCACCAAAGTTGACGTCGGAAGGAAACTTTCTTTGCACACCAAAGGTTCTTTCTCAATCTCTTTTCATTTTTTTAAATTTAATTTGAAGAGGGTTTTGAAAGAAAGAGTCTAGAAACAAGATTCCGTTCAAAATGACAAAATCTTTCACTGGTTTGATTAAATTCATTGGTCCATTACTCTCACAATGCCTGAAGACGACAGTTTTGTCCTGTTTACGACGGTTTTGTTCAGTTGCAAACTGCACGACGATGGTTAATGACCGTCGTGGTATAAAATTAATACGTCGGCAACAAGATAAAACCGTCATCTAGTGGGAGAGAGAACTGTGAGGTTTTTACTGTATCACCTCTTATTAAGATGACAGTTCTGTCTTGTTTGCGACGTTAGAATCGACACACCACAACGGTACTTAAATCTGATCTAATGCAAACTGCACGACGGTGGTTAATAACTGTCATGGTGTGACAATTAATACGTCGAAAATAAGATAAAACCATCGTCTCATGGGAGAGAGAACTATGCGGGTTTTCCTATATCACCTCTCAATAAGACGACGATTGTCTTTTGTTTTCGACGTTTTAATACGTAATGCACGACGGTTTTTAGACTTAACAACTGACGTGGTATACCAATTAATACGACATGAAAGAGATAAAACCGTCATCCTATTGTCATACTATGGTGGGAGAGAACTATTTAATAAGACGATAGTGTTTTCTTGTTGCCGTTGTGTTATTTTTCGTACGACGATGGTGATGTTTTACGACCGTCGTCCGAAATTGAATATCACGGCGGTCTTTTTTCCAACATCTTCTATTTATTATTACGTCAATTTGTTTAATTAACCATTGTTGTTTCTCTTGTAGGTTAATTAAAAATGGTTTCGAAATCTCAAAGCAAGGAGGCTCAAGTGTCAAAAGGTCCTAGCAAGGACCTTGTAGTTTCAAAGGCTCAAATGGTTGAAGCCAAATTAGTTCAAAGCAAACCCGCGAAGAGGATGAGATTTACTAACACCTTTGAGAAAGACCCGAGCTCAGCCACATTTGATGAGGAGCCAAAATTGTACATGAGGTAGTTCTAGGAATCCTATATATTTTTTTTTATCTTTATTTTAAATTAAAATCTCATTTAATTGAATTTCATATATTTAGGTTCCTATTTGACTATATAAAAATGGCAAATATGGTAAACCTTGTTGGGCTTGTCGACCCTGGATAAGTCAGCTCCCAATCTGGATCTCTATCTCACCGAACAAAACAATTGTTAGACTGCATGAAAAAAGCAGATGGGGATCAATTTTTCTTGGTCCCTTATAATCCAGGGTTAGTCCCCTTAACTATTTAAAGTATTTTCCTTGTAATGTTTTTTCTTTGTACTATTTAACCTATATGGATCATTATTTGTAGGGGTCATTGGGTGTTGATAATTGTGAGACCAGCTAAGGAGACTGCCTATCATATGAATTCACTGCCAAACCGCTCTGTTGACGATGACATGAAAAATATAGTGAATACGTAAGTTGATTTATTCCAATCTAAGATTTTATTTTTATTTTTATATGGCCATTTGAATTATACGACTATCTTTTTTTAATATCGACATTATAATGAAAATACAACAGCAGTA